AAATTATTTCTATATACTTTTAGGTTATTAGAACCGCGATGGCATATTTAAACTTGCTCCGGACAGTTACTTTATAATTGAGTAAATATTACATCATATATTTCATATATGAAAAAATGTCATATTATGGAGAACAAGAATTTGTGATTATTTTCGAAACCTTAAATAGTATTCGTGTATATTTAATTTCATCTATAATTTCCAGATTTTTACCTTCCCGAAATCTGATATTTTTTTCGCTTATATAAGAAATATAATCCAAATTTCCATTATTAATCAAATTACTAAAAAAAATTGTATACCTTGTGTGTGTGTGTGTGTGTGTGTGTGTGTGTGTGTGTGTGTGTGTGTGTGTGTGTGTGTGCGCGCGTGTGTGTGCGTGTGTGTGTGTAACATTATACGAAATATTATTTAATTAAAGATCTTTTTTTTTATATCCGTATCGCGAAATATCTCAAAGCACTCACTTTTTTCTATTATATATAATATTTTTTTTAAGACATTGCAAAAACCAAACCGCGTGAACTTGCGCATATTTTATCTTTTTTTATGATTTTCTGAAACAATTGAGAACAGATCCAATCTAAGTTAAAATCTAAGTTAAAATAACATTGTATCTCTCTCACAGTGTCTGTGTCTCTCTAACATGAGAGCTATTATAAAATGCACCTTTCAGGTAACAGAACGGCTCTCGAAGCACTATATCATTTTCGATAATCATACAAAATTTTTTGTTACTCATTTAGACCACATTTCTACGTAAATCTATTTTTTTTTCATGAAGAATATACAAAGTGGCGCAAGCGCAAATTACTGCAAACGAATTTAAAGCAACTATCAGTACATATTAGTCGCTCGTGCTGCAATAATCGAAAGTCTATCTTGTTATCTAGATGTTATCGCAATGAGCCTGGACCGTATAACCAGAATTACAATAACTACCAGATCCACCAGAAGTGCAACAAAAATTTTTATTTCATCTAGCTATTTTTCGACTTTGCCTACAACATCATGGTGGGCACATGTGGTTTGGTAGTTCTCTTTGGAATGCATGGATATCTGTGGATGTTTATATCTTGAATAAACCATCCAGTTGGTTATCTAATCCACAGGATATCAACATCACAAACAAGAGATTGATAAGATTTAGATATGAAATAAGTATGACTTTGAACATGTTGAGACATTACGTGTATATTATTTATTTGTCAACAGTTGAAATATCAGAAATTAAATTAAATCGAATTAACTGCTGTGCATAAATACGAGATATATTAGACAGTAAATTTAAATAATTAACAAGCAAAACTTTGTAGATAAAAAAGAATATGTAAAATAAAATTTGTCGTAACATATATAAAGAAAAATATTTTATAAAGAAAAAATGCGATTACTCGTGCCACGCGTTTTTGCTTCGTATTTCTAATCGAGGAATTGTTACATAACATTTCTCTAGTGAAAGTGTGGGACATATGTTGAACATGTTGCCCTGGATATTATTGCATGATACATATCTATATATCTATTTAATACAATAAGTTTAATTTCATATATATTGTATAATGCAATAAATTCATAACTTATTATGTTTTTAATATGTCAATACCAATTAATAAAATGTATCAAAGAATTATTACTTTTTTAAATATCTTTTATTTGTCAATCATAAATATTATATATTATGAAAATGGGCATTTTAAACAATTTGTATAAGTGTCTTAACATATTTGATACTTCTCAGTTTATTTACGTTTAACATATTCATATTTTGTTATATAGGCGAACTTGCAATGAACAGACATGTTTGTCACTTTTCAAAACAATGCAATATAATGTGTAAATCTTTCAAATGGCGATATAATGGTTTAAAAAACTATGTGATAATCTTCTATAGCAGAAATCTTTTGATAGATTATAGAAATACGTAAGAACTCATACATGATTGACTGATATCCCTTTCGAAAAAAAGCTTTGCTGTCATCTTGGTAAGCTGTATTCCAGTCCAGGCTTGATAATATAATCTAATTGTGTATCAGTTTCGACGATGTAAGTATTATATATGTAAGTATAAATATATTTTAAAAAATTAGAATATTTATATATTTTATATTAATATTTTTTTAAATTCGATAGTTTAATTTTTTATTTAAAAAACATGTAATGAAATAAAAAATTTGCTGCATTTTACAAAATAGATATTGATTTAATTACAGATACTATAACATAACGCAATTAACTTAAAAACAATAGATCATAAAATCATTTGTCGCTTATTTGAACATGCTACAGATATTTACTTGAAAAAATACAATTTGACTTAAAGTATATTCATTTAATAACATTAAATTTTACATTAAATAGCTATAAACTTTTAATACATTCAAATTTTGCGCTCAGAATAAAAATCGAGTATGTAATATTTCGTAACGGACCAATAACGGATTCTTCAAAAAATTGTTGGATAATATATGTGTGTAAATTATAATATTTTAATTATGTGATATTGATATAAATTACTTACAATGGCAATATGCAGCACAAATTATTCGTTCCAGCATATAAAACGTGTTTACTAAAAAAGCTTGTAAAAAAATTTCTTAATCTGATCTCTTTTTTGATTTTTCAAGTATTTTTGTTCGAAATTAGATGAACGATTACAGAATTTTTCAATGCAATTTAGAAATAAAAGAGTGTAATTACAGTGCAAGCAATGAAAATAAAATATATGTTGAAAATTAATACAAGAAAGAGACTTCACAATAGATACAATTTTAACTGTATCTATCATTTTCTACAATTGATGTCGCGAAATCTACAGTGCAGTATAAGCAGAACACCCTGTAATGTAATATTAGTGAATTATTCTGTTTTGCTGAGTTTTCTATAATAATGTAGTTTTGATTTTTTTTTAATTTACGAAACATAAAAAATGTACGAAACATAAAAAAATGTACGTGAATATACATGTGCAGGTCATATTGCCAATTATCGACATTCTGCATTATTAAGAAAAAAGTAATTTAAAAAAATGATTCTAAAAAGAAACAAAATTTAAATTTAAAAGTAAAATTTCAAAAATTTCAGTTCTAATTAAATTCCATGAAAATCCCTTATTTTCGAGGGTAAAACGAAATCCCCTGAAAATTCTAAGATTTATAGGTTTTCTAGGTAGTAAATATATCCTGTTATAGCTCGAAACTTTGTAAAATTGTATATGTCATGCAACGTATATATCCTTCTGTCACACTAGCATTTATTTCGAGAATTAGGCACGTATAATTCGCCAACCCTTTTTGTATAACATTCATCACGCGCAGACGTTTTATACACGCAAGCGCGGTACTCATTCTGTTCTTACCGTTGAAAGAGAAACTACCCATTATCACATACATATGTCCAGTTATGATCGAGCTTCTGGTCCGGTATAACCATCTGTCACTCGTAAACACAAAATGCGGAAACCCTATTAACGGAATTAACGAAAATTCAGCGTTCGGAAAAAAACGAGACCGGTACAAAAATCGTAATCACGAATTCCATTGTGTTAAATTTCAAATAAAAAATAAAAGAAAGTACGTTAAATAAAATTAATTATGGCAGACTCATCGAAAAATAAATACAAAAATGATTTCAATTACGCAGTGCAAGTGACTCGCAATGTTTTGCGAATGATCGGTGTGTGGCCAATTTCCAGTAACGCTTCCAATGTGGAAAGAATCGCGATTCGCTTACAAAATGTCTCTTGTTACTTTTTATTCACATTTATTATCGTGCCGAGTCTTCTATTAATATTCCTGAAGGAACACGACTTTAAACGTAGCGTAAGAGTGCTCGGACCGCTTCTGAATTGTGGGATGGGTTGCTTGAAGTATAGTCTGATCATGTATCACGCGAAAGAAATTCAGTCTTGTCTGAAGCAGGTGCTACATGACTGGAGGGATACAGTTGATTGGAAAAATCGAAAAATAATGCTATCTAAGGCAAAAATAGGTCGAAGATTCGCGATTATTTCTGCCGTCTTCATGTACGTTGGTGGATTATCTTATCGCACACTCGTACCGCTTTCAAAAGGTCGTATGCTCACATCAATGAACATCACAGTAAGAGCGTTGGCATGTCCGAGTTACTTCGTCAAGTTCGATGAACAGACGTCGCCAGCATACGAAATCGTTTTCATTCTGCAATTCTTTGCTGGACTGATCACCTACTCGGTAACAGTCGGTGCAGCCGGATTGGCTGCATTTTTCGTCATGCACATTTGCGGACAACTGAGCATTTTAATTGGCAAGTTCAAGCATCTTAATGATATACCGGAGCCTGAGGATCGACCTGTCGCGATATTGCTGGCTGATATCGTCGAGCATCAGATAAAAGTGAAAACGTAAGTCTGATAATATGTCATGATAATAAGTAATATGGAGAAGATTTTTATATGTAATTGTTTTATTAATTTCATTATAAGTGAATAATTTTTTAATAGAACTAATATGATAAATTTATTTTATATATATATATATATAATATCGCACATTATTATAGCTGATAATTTTTTTCGAATTATAACTATTAAAGAATATGCAACAGAATATTTAGATTAACATGACAAATCTATAATAAACCATAATTATCATATAAGATAAATATTAGACTGTTATTTTAATTATTTTACTATTTCATTAAATTACATTCTAATACAATACAACACTGTAAAGATTGCACACAAGACTGCATAAAAATTATAATCATTTAATGGATAAATCATTTGTTACAGTTTCCTAAAACAAGTAGAGGAAACTATGCGATATATATTGTTAGTAGAAATGACGGGCTCTACTATACTTTTATGCCTTACTATGTATTATGTTATTATGGTAATTACATCAAACAATTTTGTGAGACTTTTATCGATGCATTATAGTTCAAGGCCTCTTTTTTGTTTTATTGTAACGATATCGTTGCACAGTTTTTTTACTATGTAACAATATTGTTATTAAGAATTACAGAATAAAGGCCAGCTAATTTTTATAGAAATTAATAATGGGATAGTATTTGTGAAATATTACTTCAGAAGCTTTAATCATTAAGCAATAGCATTAATTTTTAATAGGAATGGGAAAGAAGCGATTCTACAGCTATGTTAACTATGTTTGTGATTCTCACATCTTTTACTTTTTCTATTTTTACTAATTGTTACGTTGGTCAACTATTGACAGATCAGGTAGATAGCATTGATATATTTATATTGTTTGCTGTAAAAATTAATTTCGAATTTTCGAAAGAGTATTTACGAAATATATACTTAATTAATCATGGCAGAGCATTAAAGTTGGATCAATGACATCTACGACGAATTGGCATCGTCTTCCTCACAAAAAAGCCCGTACTTTAATTTTAATAATGGCAGTTTCTAATATTCCGGCAAAAATTTCAGCAGGAAAAATGATAGAAATGTCTCTACCTACATTCAGTAATGTAAGTGTAGAAATCTTTCTCATTTTGGCTTGCTATTATACATAATATACATTTCATTATTTTATTATAGATCATTAAAACGTCACTGGCGTACTTTAATCTGCTACGAAAATTTATTACATAATTTTGCTGAAATAACTATTATAACAATGCAATACTCAAATATGAATCTAAATGATATTATTTTTTCAATGAATAAACAAAATAAACAATTAATACTTTTTATTTTAATTAATTTTGCTCTTAAAACATTTAGACATTTTGTAAAATATAAAAAAAAAACAACTTTTGACATATTCTACCTTTATTTAAAATTTATGTAAGATTATTTTTTATAATTAGATACTACAAGATATTATAATCGGTTGATTTAATTAACAATTGATGTAGTTTTATTAATTTAATCTTCATGATTTATGACCTATGATCTAACAGATCATAGATAGATATGCTAAAGGTCGTTTGATTTAAATCAATCCTGCAATTATCCTACCAACAAAAAATTATGCGCACGTTATCTTTCGTATCAAACTTTTAATGTTGCTATGAGATTACGATAACAAAAGCAGAAAGCGTGCGTAATACAAACTGATTTCATCGTATTTTCATCTATCACTTACAATCATGCGGCTTCTTTGCAACAAGTAATCTAGAGAGAATAATTTTTCTCTTTTTTTCATTTGTCTATATATCATTCTGTCTATATATCGAACGAATGAATCTACGAAGTTCTAATTACAAGGACATTAGATATTAGATAACAAGGAATATTAGATATATCAGGTAGGTACACATTGGGATTGATCGGTACGTATGACTGAACCTGAAGAAATCTTGAAAACTTCTAAAAAGTGATTCCTCCAGGCCGCTTTTTATTGTCTTTCAATCTAATACTGTAAATGCTTTACATTTTTTTTCATTATATAGACATTCAAAAATATTTCATAATGACCAGCGAATTTTGTTTGTGGTATATTTTAAGATCAATTAATTGTGTGTTTATTAAAATCAGAAAGACCAATAGTAAATTTATTTTCTTGGATTATTGTAAGATGCGTTAAGTATATATTTTTTTTATTACAATATGATAGTACTGGTAATACATTTACATTCACATTTTATTATAATAAATAATTATTATAATAAATTTATATATCTTTTATTGCTGGATATAATATAGTCTGTTTTCCAGCTAGGACACAGGGAATATCTTACACAGTGTGGAACACACTTACACTGTGTTCCACACTGTGTAAGATATTTGTTGAAACGCAGTTTAGTTTTATAATGTAACATCAGAATGCATTGTAGTCTTATAATTATTATCTTATAATTATATTTAGCGTATCAATAATAGATTTATGATTTTTATTTAGACTTAAATTACAATTTTTTCAGAATTGGCGATTTTTAAAGATTTTATTGCAAAATAAGTACGGTTACCAAATACTTTTTGAAAAATTGGTAACATTGACATATTTTACACGCTTGTACTTAGCTTTTTATAATATCGAGCAGTGTAACACTGTCTCATAATTGAAACACTTTGTATAAAACAGTGTTACACTGTGTCACCTGTGTATGTTGTTGTACATAATTAGAGATATATAATTCTCTAACACAATTAGAGAAAACATAATTAGAGAAATATAATTCTTTTTGCTGTTATTTATTAGTTAGAAATATTATATATTATTTAAACAGGACTTTAAATAATCTGTAAATAGTTTAATATAAATGATCTTATTTTGTTTTCGATCAATATAATATATTATATATTTTATTACATAGATAAACTTTTAACCGTATTTTTTATAACAGTGATGTCTATGACTACAACTTGCACTACATATACCATATAAGGTTCACTTTTCACAGCAATCACAGCAATTATTCATAGCAGAAATCATCATCTCATGACAGACCATAAAATGCGAAAATACGATAAATTGTACATAATTTTCCGGAAAAAAGAGCTTTATTGTCAACTACCGGGCTTACTACTACATAAAATTGATTTATTATCAGTTTTAATCATGTAAGTACTATATCATATTAAAAAATAAATCAGAATTAAATATCTTATATTAATTGTACTAGAAATATGATAAAATATAATTTTTTACAAGAAAACAAGTATATAATAAAATAAAATTCCAGTCAATAGATATCAATACATATCTAAGTTAATCATAGATATCATATTAATGCAATTATTTTTTAAAAAAATATATTATCAAATTATTTTTCACTTAATATGCTATGTTCACAATTTGAGGAAGCATTATTTGAAATATAGCAATCCTCATGCTAAATGTAACTTATTACTAAATTTTTGTTGGAATATGAATCAAAATATAAACGTTACCTATATTCGGCTGAATCACTGGATAATGAAGTCGATTGATGTCTGGCCAAAGTTATCCAATATTTCATGTATAGAAAAATTCATATATTTTTTGATAAATGTAATCTGTATCGCTTTACTCAGTTTCTTCTTTATATCCTCTATCATATGATATTTTAATATATGATACTTTAAATGAATAATACGCTTTGTGAGGTACGAGTATAATGGTTTGATAAACTATTCTTCGTTAATCATACGCGAGAACGACATCCGTAGTGATATTAAACAAACTGAAAAAAACTGGATGAATTCTCGATTGGATTATAAAAAATCTCGAAGTTCGCGGTTGGCGCCTAGTGGCGATCTGCGCGTTCTTCATGTAGCGGTGGTATATTTTATTATCTTATTCTGCTTGAGTGCAAGGATGAAAACTCGATATATCAGCCATTAATAAATCCGATTGCCAAGATTGTCGACACATCATATTAGTCCCATCAATGAAATCTTCTTTTGAATGCAGTTTCTATTGGATTTCCTCGCACACTTCATCTTTGTCAGTGCAAGAAGCTTAGCTGCAATATTCGCGACACATGCCTATGATCGCCTGAAAATTTTAATACAGAATCAAACAGTTGATGGACGGATAGGAAGATATATGACAACAAAGGATGAAAGATTGGCAATGATCGTGCAACGACACATTCGAATTTTACAGGTGAGTTATTTTTTACTAGCATTGCCAATGTTTCTTGTATCCAGCATATATGTGCTTCAATTTATTTTTAATTGTTTAAGAAACACTTATAAATATCTACTGTGAAAATTATATTAAACATGTGTTTTCTTGGATATTTTTATCACGATATGCATATCGTAATAGAAAAGTATGTACATACTTCACCAAGTGTATTGCAATTTCGAAACAATATTAGAAATCAATGACAAGTGTTTACGCGTTCTCGAATAGATCTTCACATTACAGGAATTGGAGACTATACAGCCTACGAACTTTACAACATTTATTGTTCTGCTTACGTCTATTATGTTTTTTATATTCTATTTTTATATTCTGCTACTATTTTTATATTTTACTACATTGGTGAGTTGTAACAGAAAAGATAAAAACTCATCTGCAAATGTGATAAATTTAATGTCTTACTCCTACGATCTACAATAGAGTTGTAAGTCTTGAGCCATAAGAAATGGATAAATCATAGTCGATTATTTTTTCGACTGTAATTGGTCAATTTTTTACGACTTAAAGTTTAAAACACCTATTGTAGATCCGGGGTTACGTACTTACTTTATATGTATGGTATATTCACAGGATATAATTCATAATATACTTTCACAATATATTTTTACAGTGGCAAAAATATTATAAATTTAATAATAAATTTATAAAATTTAAAATCCATTGTAGAACATAGCTCCTAGCAGCGTAAATCTAGTCATATTTCAAAAGAAATGAGAAAAGGAATCCTGTAAAGTGCAAAAAAGTCGATGAAGTATTGTATATGATCGATTCGGCATCGTCTGGAAGAAAGGACCTATTTGCTATGTACACTGATATTTGTTCAAAGTAAAAGATTCTAGTTTATCTTTTGCATATTTACATTTATAATTTTTCTTAATACCATTAGCAGTAAAATTAAGCAAAATGCAATCGAAAATTTTAGAAATTTGTGTTCGTATTTTTGTTTACTATTTAGATCAAATGCGTAGACAAATTTCAATACAAATGATCAAAAGCATTTCTCAATTTAAAAAAATAAATTTTTTAAATGTTCTATAATATATATAATTCTAATATTAAAATGCAATTCTATTATATCATAATTATACCATAATTTTTTTATAATTTGAAAAATATATTATAAATAAAAAAACCATTTGTTTCATTAAAAAAAATATTGTAATATTTTTATTTTCATACGACTTGTATAAGCATTACGAAATATGTATACGTACGTAATCCTATTCTCTCATCCACGTATAATAATACCTTATATGCAAGAAAAAACCGGTTGCGATTCAGACAAGTTGCAGAAAATATCTACGCGAGGAATTCACAATTCACTCCGTTCATAATTCATAGACAATGTGCAGTATCACATGAGGAAATCTTGATCTCCCCTTTACAGAAATGGAGAATTGCGTTTGCAAAGTTTACCCTCCGTATCCTGTTTGATGGTCTCTTTACTAGAAAGGTCATGCGAAGCAGCGCAGTCGCATTTGACATTCCTCGCATGTACGCTTGGACAATCCGATCAGTCATCATTGAGCTTTCGCTCCTTCAACAATGTATAGAACTATCACAGAAAAGACAAATACGGTCGCGACTGTCTACGATTACAAGAAAGATATAAGGCTGAGCGTTCAGCTGATTCGTTGGATGATGGAGATGATTGGCACATGGCCAAAATCTACCATGATCTCATCGATAGAGAGATACGCGTACACGCTATTAAACGTTATTTGTATCGCTTTGATTAGCTTCCTCGTCGTACCCGCCATCATCTACATAGTGCTTGAAATGGATAATGGATACCTTATCTTGAAACTTTCCGGAGCGTTGAGTTTCTGCGTATTGGCCATCGTGAAGTATTTTTCGCTAATTTTTCATAAAGAAGATATTCGCAATGGTATCAAGTATATCGAGAGTGACTGGATAAATACTCGGTATTACAATGATCGGATCACGATGATTAGAAGCGCGAAATTTGGCCAGCACCTCGTGGCAATTTGTATGTTCTTCATGTACGGCGGTGCCATTTTTTTCTATCTTGCTCTACCATTCAGTGCCAGCAAAATTACAGAAGATGAGGGTAATCTAACATATCGGCCATTGGTATATCCAGTCGCCAGAGTGATTATCGATGTACGACACAGTCCTGTCAGGGAGATTTTTTTTTGGATGCAGTGCTTATCAGGTTTTCTCGCTCACTCTATCACTGCCAGTGGATGCAGCTTAGCTGCCGTATTCGCGATGCACGCTTATGGTCGCATGGAGATTCTGATACAATGGATCGAGCACTTGATAGACGGACGAAAAGATTTATGTGATAACATGAATGAGAGATTGGCGATAATTATAGAGCATCACGTACGAATTTTACGGTGAGTCTCTTTCCGAACTTCGTCAATGTTCGTGCAATATATCTATATTGCGCTTCAATTTTTTTTTTTAATTATTTAAAAACACTTAAAGAAATCATACTTTTTCTGTGAATATATAGGCTGCATTTCACTTAACGCTCACAATGCTCATGGAATCAGCTCATTTTATCCTTGTCGTTTATCAAATGTTAACAAGGACAAACGATGTTCACGAGCGTTGCGAGTGTTAAGTGGAACGCAACCATATTATTTACGCGATAATGTATTCAATATCTTTCAGTTTTATATCATTAACGGACAGAATATTGCGTGAAATATCTGTCGTGGAAATTGTACAATGTACAGTAAGCATGTGTCTTCTTGGATATAATATTATCATGGTATGCAAATCATACCAAGAGTTTGTGCGATGTAAAACATATCCCTATTTCGGAACAATGTTGGAGATCGTGTATGCTTTACAGAGATATGTACAATATATCTCCGAATATAAAACTTATTATATTGCAGGAATGGGAGAGCCAAAAGACTACAAGTTATATAACATATACTGTTCTTCTTCTATCTTTTACTTTTAATATTTTTATATTTTGCTATATCGGCGAACTTATTGCCGAAAAGGTAAGCTCTATAACAGTCGAAGCATTTCTTTGCATATCTGCATGATACTACATTTTTACACAATAGCAAGAGTATTTTTATAAGTCTTATTATTATTATTATTATTACTATATAATACTATATAATTACTATATAATAACATATTATTAAAATAAAAATATCTAATCATACTAAAATTTAGAATTATATTTTGGAAATTAATAAATTCTTAGTTGTGTGACAACATTATTTGTCATCATTTGATGTAAAAATGACGACAAATAACGTTAGTTCGTTTGTCGGATATGACATTTTGTATAAAAAAAAAATTACAAAAGCAATCCAATAAATAGTACAAGAAGATCGGTGAGGTATCATACACAATCGACTGGTATCGTATGTCTGGAAGAAAAAGCCTCGATATTGTGTTAATGATCGCTATGTCCAATACATCAATCAAATTTACCGCCGGAAATATTTTTGAGTTGTCTTTCACTACTTTTGGAAATGTGAGTAACATAATATCAATGTTTATCATATCTGTTTATAAGAATATGATTTGTACATCATTCGTATAATTAATAGGTGGTTAAAACGTCGGTTGCTTACTTTAACATGCTGCGTACATTAAATATATAAAATTCTTGTCCAAAGTGTACATATTAATAAATAATGCAACCGAGAAGATTGCAAATAAATGTCAATTAGTTGTTTGATAGATATCAAGAAAAAAACAAAAATGTTTTCTAAGAAATCGAAAACTACTAATTAAATATTATAAAAATATTTGTTAAACAATATACCTTTTATTTTGTATACTATTCTTTAAAATATTATTTGGCTATACTATATGCAAAAAATCAAACGAATGCAATCTGAAACAAGATATTCTTAATGACGGTATTCATTTTTGGTAAAAAATTTCTTATTGTACATATATATATATATACACATTACGTATAAGTAAGAAAATTTTAATTATCAAGAAATAATTTTATATCAAAGAGTAAAAAATGTAATATAAAATGTAAAACTACATATAATATCTCTCTCCATGCGGATTGTTTTCCTATCGTGCATCTAAGTAGAATAGGGTATACAATAACTACAGATTAATCAACGCAACTCACACCCGTATCGATCGCTACTACCCCTTCACTCTGGAAAATCTGAAACTCTGTCTCTTAAGCTAACTATACTCCTTGAAAAAAAAAAAGTTAGAAAAATGCGCAAGCGCTGAAAATGACTTGCTGTTTCCTCCATCGCGATATTGTAGTTCAATAGTTCGCCGACATTCCAATCACTATGTCGTATTCTTTCCGTGTGTCCTCTGTTGATATGCGCAATATCGCATATCAACAGGATAATGAATATAGTATTCAATTGAATCGCTGGTTCCTAAAACCAATCGGTGCTTGGCCAGGAATTAACACTGGTATCGCCGGTAAGGTGCTATCATGTGGTATCCAATTTGTCTGTCATTCTCTGATCGCCTTCACGGTGGTGCCGTGCGCGTTATACATTATATTCGAGCCGGATGTGCATCTAAAGTTGAAGGCTTTCGGTCCGATGATACACTGGCTGATGGGCGGCGCGAACTATTGTTCATTACTGATGCGTAGCTGCAAGATACGCAAGTGCGTGGACCATATGCGCGACGATTGGCGATATGTGGGAACAAGGCGCGATCGCGAAGTGATGCTGCAAAATGCAAAATTTGGTCGATTTGTGTCCGCCTTTTGCGCAGTCTTCATGCAAGGCGGTGTCTGTTCCTACAGTATCATTACCACTCTGACACCAGCGAACATTCAGATCGGGAACGTCACGATAATTATGCATCAGCTTCCATGTCCGTTCTACACGGAGCTGGTGGACACTAGATACAGTCCAGCGAACGAGATTGTGATCGTTCTACAATTGTTGTCAACTATCATAGTAAACTCCGTCACGGTGGGCGCGTGCAGTCTCGCTGCGGTCTTCGCCATGCATGCCTGTGGCCAACTGAGCATTCTGATGATAAGATTGGACGAACTTGTCGACGAGACAGGAAGCGAATATAAGATCACGCGACGAAAGTTGGCTATCATCGTGGAGCAACATCTCCGTGTATTAAGGTAATATTTATACATTGTAGATTTTCAAAATGTATTTGATTTTTGATTTCCATCAAAATTCAAATGAGGAATAAAATTGTAATATTTAAATCGCTGATTCAGTAATTCGTTTAAAAAAAATCCTTTTTATTTTTATTATTTAACTGGTTTTGTAGTTAGATCTTTCCAAATCTTGTTTAAATTTCTCTGCTGTAAAAAAGTTATACCTAAAAAAAATGATATTAAAAAATATAATAGAATATTAAATTATTATAT